TAAAAACAATATGACAATCCGATGCCTGTAAAAAAATACTGTCATTAAAAGATTTCTATTCCATTACATTTCCCGTTTAATCCAAAAATGACTAGGGCTCGGCTACGGCTCTTCCCGCGAATTGAATAGAAAATAATTACGCGAAGACTAAAATTAATCTTGGCGATAAAAAGAGTGGCGGCGAGTTTCTTGACAGTTCTTTTCGTTCGTTCTACGCCCTTGATTTGAGAAGTGGTAGTAAACGTCAATCGTTTAGTTTAGTTTAACTCTGACGTTCATACCTACGTAAATAAATGATTTGTGACGTTGATATTTAATCCGCGCCTGTTTTTAAAAGACTTACTAATTAACATGCTTTCACCACTCGTTATACTAATATTTTTTAAATAAAACACTTAAACGGTTTAAAACGCGATATGTTTTAGTTAAACTTGTTTGTAAATTATTTTTCACTACGGCACGACGTTTTGGACGCTTTGCAGCAGTACTCGCGTAAACTACAGACAGTATTACACTTATAATTGTAAATGTAAGTTATTAATGTATAACATTAGAATATGTGGGATGGCAATATAAATTATGGGGAACTAGAGTGGCGGAAATTAATAGAAGCATAGCAGAAAGAATAGAAGAGGATGAGGAAGGCTGGAAAAGCGTAAGCACGGTTTTTGATGTCTGACATTTATCAAACAAACGTCAGATCCAAATAAGGTATAAATAAAGTATACTTCATTTTGCATTGTATACCTACTGCTTCCATTTATTCAAATACCAATAGAAAGTCTAGAAATCGCCATAACAAAATGTTTTTCCAGTTTAAAAATAATTCGTAGCGGACCGTGATAAACCTCAAACTAGATTTGTTGTGAATGACTTTAAAACGAATATGGCACGGAGTCATTGACTTCTAACGTGGAAGATTTTCGTTTATATAATAATAATAATTATATCAATATCTGTATTCCAAGCACACAATGTAATTTAACATAGTGAAATCCCGTTTCCCGCTCGTGGGGCATGGGGCAAACATGGTTTTGTGTTCGTTTCACTGATCCGTTCTTTAACAGGCAAGTAGTTGATCAGACTTCTGTGCCCTGCCCGACCGAAACAATTTTTTGTTTCCCTGGGATTCAAACCCAGGACCGCTCGCGCTTAAGGTAAATCGTTTAACCATTTGGCTACAGGGGCGGTGTAATTTACTATGTAAATCTATAATTGTACCATTACTGAAAACCCACATATGTATATATTGTGGCAACATAACACTTTATTGCTTCGTTATAAAACATAAGACCTACTCGTGGAAAAACAGCATTTTAACTATTCTGTTATTTGTAGAACAAACGTTTGATTGGGTAAATAATTGTTTAATTAGATACACACACGCAAAGTCAGGAAAGCTAACAAATATACAAGACGTATTAACGTCTGTTATAGTTTTTTTGCCGAAAAGGTATTAAGTTTGCTTATTTTTATTCGTCACAAGAACCAATATATTCAGAGCCGATGTAGGTCGACATCTTGTGTAAATTTTATTTGGCTTAGGCATTTGTGTCTGTTCGTCTCTATCATACAAATATGGGTGAAATGGTCAGCTGATAACGTGGACTGATCACCCATTCTACCACAGGTGTCCCCGAAAGAAAATAATAAAATAATCATACAAATAAATGAAAAATCGTTTTCTGCGGATCCCTAATGCCCCTACCACACGCGCTTGCCCATCTAACGCATAAGCGACAACATTTATTAGCAATAAATCTCTCTTGCTTCATTAGCCGCTGTGTGGGCATTGGGCACCTTTATGGTTTTGTACCAACACGGTCACTTACTACATTCATTTCCAATAACTTTCACAAAGAATCCATTCAACGCTTCCATTTTTAATATTCTTTGAATGTGTAGACATTGACTGTGCTTTCGGTTCAAGCATAATGTGTTTAGTAATTTGAGCTATCTAAAGTTTGAAAACCTTAATATTCTTTACATGTTATTGCATAGAAGGCTATATAATTTAAAAATCGAAAATAAATTGAAAAATTTTTCGACTCGTGCAGGATTTGAAGCGGTATCGTCAGCGTTCCGTGCTGTTGCTCTACCACTCGACTCAGTACGCGGACTTGGACTCGGTAGCTCAATTGGTAGAGCAAGTATCGCATAAGATTATTAACTGAAGTTACGCGATATATTAGTTAAACTTATTTAAAATAAAATAATTTTTGTTTGAAGTAGAACTTTTGTTCTAGGTCATGGAAGACAAAAAACTACACAAAAAGCTATTTTAGTTCTTTGTCTCGACCGGGTTCGAAATCCCGACCTCAGGAACCCAATGATCAAAACAAATCATTATCGAAATAATCGAAGATTACGACAAAAGACGGAATTTTATAAGTTTAGCTCGCAAAATTATTTAGAACTAGAATTTTATTTCTTCGTAAATGTAAAAAAAATTACAACGACATAGAATAGTAATACTTTAATTAAATTTAGTATTTGTGAGACAACAAGATGCGTACTGACCTTGAATTAAAGTTAGATAATAACAAAACACGGTGTCAATAAAAACTACTATAATTAAAATTTCACAAGGTCTCAATCTCACATCCTTGCAGGCTTAAAAATATTTCTATCTTATTATTATGGGTCATCCTAATAACATAAAACGATTTGAATTATCCTTGGAATTACAGCGGTCTCTATATAATTGATTAAAACTATTTCACGTTTTATTTCTGGAAAACATTTATTTGGTTCCGTATATCTTCTTCATGGCAACCTTTTTTAGATTTTATCTGTAATATACTCGTATAATAGCAATATTTCTTATTTTATTCAGTCCTACAGTATATACAGTTATTTTTCATTCTAGAATTTACTTTTTCGTAAACCTATGTTCTTTTTAATAATGAAGGCATAAAAATATCACTTCAATATGTAACCGGCCACAAAATCTGATAATGCCAATTTAAAAAGAACAAAAAACATTCTATATATACATTCAAACTCCTTCAATTTTAAAACAATAGCGAAATCAAGAGCTTTTTATTCTTTAAATTGTACGTTGTGGCCACGAAAAGTAATGCATTTCGTTCATTACTTTTAACGATCTATAGCAGTTATATATATTAAAAGTTTATACAATTTTAAACAATTTAGTCGTATACAAATCTAAAATGTATTTAATAAAAGCTAACCTCAAATATTAAAAGCTTAAACTCACCACGCTGCGCCAGAGTAGGCTAACAGACTTTTGCTACTATCGACACCAAATCGGTGGTAATTTGGACGTCTCCTTATCCAGCTTATCCAGTTAAGACACATATTTCCGCAATCCAGGCAGGTATGAGTTTTTCTTTATTTAAGTTTCATACATTTCGTCCGACGTAGGATTCGGTAACTTGTGAACTGTAGTTAAATGTTAAATGTCAAAACCGACGACACATCTAGACTTTCCTCATGCTAGCCTAAAAGACATTTATTTGCAATATTTTTTAAGGTACGCTTAAAGCATTAAGTTGGTAATATAAATAAATACTATACCATTGACAATATCAAAGCCGTCAACATTAAAAGAGTTAAAGTATGAAACTCGACCCAGAAGAGTATTGAAAGTTTATTAATATAGTAGATTAAATAACTGCTACAGCAAACGCACTTAATAATTCGCTCGGCTCGTGGCCTCTACCAGCGGAATGTAGGCTGTACCGCATAATGAGCCCCTAAATTTATTATACACCCGAAATCTTTCTCGGAAACTACTGAATAATCCGACATCGGCGAAGCGGTATGCGCGTTCGGTTCCCGTGTGATGCACAGTTATGTTCGCTATTCTTACGTAACAGACGGGTAAAAAGTAGAGTTCTTGTATGTGAGCGGTAACGGGAGTGATTTTGTTGTAATTCAGAGAATCGAAAATTAAAACATCATTTAGATTGTTGTGTTTGCGTTTAAAACATGCTTATTTAATTTAGATTTAACACAAAAAGTGTACTTTTTAAACTAATACTAAAGTAAAATACAATGCGAAAGTTTTTTATGTACAGAATGTTTTGTTTCAAGTCACTCGTAAGTACTTAGCATATATGAGTATAAAGTCCAAAAATGTAGGGCAAATTAAAAGCTACAGTTTCCTCCCAATTTCCTTAAGAGCACTATACGTTGCGCTCGCGCACATGACCTTGTCGGCTTCGAAGAATATGATCGCTCCGCCCACGAGGGCGGGGGGCACGAAGCTCAAACGTAAACATTCACGTATTACGTTTATTGAATTACGTCTTCAATAGAGAAAAGTTATATTTGAATAAATATTACAATTATGTTGGCCCGGTAGATAAGCGATAAGACCCGGTCACTTATATTTTAAATTTATTTCAATATATTTTGTCTATGTAGTTTTCAAAAGAATTAATAAATGTCCTTTATTTAAAAATTTATTTATTTTTAAAGTTTATGTGTCCCTAAATATGTAAGTTTTGCTTTTAAAAGAAGGAAATTGTTCGTTATAAATTAACAAAATCATTACATATATTATGTATTCAACATATCTATTTCTTATCCAACATAATATCTTGTTTATCCGTTTTTAAGTTTCATAGAATATGGATGATGATTTTCACGGTTAATTTTCAACCGCCCATTGAGAGTTACGTTAATACGGAGGTCAGAAATTAACGATGACTCAAAATTGATTCATTCATCGCCTAATTACTAATTTCTGACCGTTGTCAGACACGTAAACAGATATTTATAACAAACAGATTACGTCGTATTTTAACGAGATTAAAAATGTTTTGCCTGATGTAGAGAAAACTATTAAACTAGAACTATATTACTTTAGTTGATAGTTATGTATAGAAATAATAAAGATACAGATATATTTATCAATATATATTATCTTCATAAGAAGGTCTTCAAAGTACAATAAATCAAAGACACACAAAACGAAAAATAACAATGGTGTCACACGTTAAATAAACGTGTAATAGGAAATAAAATCGTCTATGGATGTGGTCTTTGACCAAATATGTAAAGGTCAGTTACCTATCCGCGAGTTATAATTTGAGGTAATTGCAGAAAATTCGCAAACGGAGAGGAACATTTTAATTGCTAGCCAAACTAGGCAACGCTAGCTTAAGGGTAAACCGTTTTTGATGTTACAAATTAATTTTAATGGATGTATCTTTTATAGAATTGTTCTTAATATGCATTTTGTTATTCTTTACCCATACTGTCAGTACAAACAATCGAAACAAACATTTTACTTAAATTGCGTAACGAAAACTCCTGAAATATTCACTCAGTATCGCATCGTCTATGCTGTGCCTTAAATACCGTGGGTGGCACAAAACGTTCATATAACATTTGGTCACTATTTGAGTTTGTGCGATATCTCTAATTGTTCTCGCAAACGCAGATTACTTTATTCTATATAATTGAAGTAAATTTGCGCACTAATAGCCGACAACAATAAACTATTCAATTTGTATCCATAAAATACTTTTCGATATCACTCACATCAATATAATATACTTAACTTAATTAACTTAAGTAGATCAGGCCTAAAATATTTATAATTACAAGGATTTTTTCATTGTTAATATACACTTATAAAACTCAGAGATAATATTACACATCGATTTGCTTAATTTCCCAAACACAGGGGGTGTACCGTTACATCTTGATATCTATGGTTACCTGAGGGTGAGGATGCGAGCGGTGAGGGCGCGGCGCGTCGCGGGGCTCGTGCGCGCGCGCACCGCTCATGCTATGCGGCGCATGCCAGGGTCGCTCTCAGGCGCTGCAACGGTAATATCCTTAGATTAAAATTAAACCGCTGTTGTTAGCTGTTATTATAATTTTTTCTAGGCTTGTACTCGTATAACACCACAGATGTTACAATTTCATATCTCTAGTAATATATAAAGCTGAAGAGTTTGTTTGTTTGAACGCATTAATTATGGAAATTGGAAAATATTTTTGTGTTGGTTAGAGTATGTATCGAGGAAGTCTTTAGGTCATAAAACATCACGTCGCGACAACTAGAAGTGAAGAAACAATGAGAAATGTGGAACAAACGGGGAACATTATTCATCTTTGAGTTTCCGTTGCAAGATATGTACGACAGAATGATTCCACTTTAAATGATGTAAAATGTCCGCAACAGTATGTCTACCTTTTAAGAACTAGCAAGAACGGCGGAACGCGAACGACATGGTGGGTAACAGCTTTAATTTATAAAGATGAAACGGAGGTTTGCAGACACAAATTTTGACCAATATAACAATTCAACATATAAAGAGGCTTTTGGGTACACATACACCGAAAAACATAATTATAAGCCTGCTGGTAAGTGGGAATTTTCGACTTTGTTAAAAAATCTGTGAATTTTCTATTTATCTTATTTTGGTGTGCAAAGATACCTGTTATATATACATATTAATTAGTAACATTATACATTCTACCTAGCTAATCCAAAATTAACATAAGTAGTACACAGATAATATTATTATTAGGCAATTATCACGGAATCCGTATCGAATCACTTTCACGGGTAACAGTTAAACCGTGGAATAGGCAACAAACGTCTAATAGATACCAACTTTCACAGTACCAATATTGGATATATCGATGCTCAAATGCGGCACATTAAAAATAATTTATATCAGTAATTCACGAGAAACGAGTAGACAGAGACCAGAGGTTAATCGTGTCCAAATAATTATATGTAGCAGATAATGCCGAAAATACTGTTCGCGAAACGACTAGGTTTTAAGGTAAATTACAAATGCAAGTTGCATTACAATATTTTTTTAACTAAGAAAATATAAAACATAAATACTGCCTGTAGTTCACGCGAGTACATTTAAATAAAACATTTTAACGGTTTAAAACGCGGTATAGATTAGTTAAACTTATTTGGAGATTATTTTAACTAGGGCCTAGCGTTTTGAATGCTTTGCAGCAGCCATTGTCTCGGGGAGATTTTCAATTCTGTGTCTGTAATTTACTTATATTTTATTTGATACTAATTTTATATAAAGGTGTAGATTAACGAAACGTATTTAAATATAAAGTTTAAGCGTATGAACAGTTTCGCGATTATTGACTATAAATAATTGAAAAGACCAAAATCTCAGTTTTGACTACAACGTGATATTTGAAAGTTGCTTATAGATGTTGATGTCAACACTTTAACTAAAGCCGGGTCACATATTTCCCTAACAAGTGTACTTCCTTATTTACAAGCAAATTATTAATTTACACAATTATATTATTGACATTTAAATGATGTAATTAAACAGTTACATACAACCAAGAAGTTCGGATAATAAATTATCATTCAATATTTATTAATTACTTTTGCGTAATTAAGAGGATTTTGTATATGTCATTTATTAATTTACTAGCTGTGTCAGCGACTTCATCCGCGTATAATAGTGATTTTGGACCTAAAAATTCGTTTTTGCAAGCCTCCTGTTCCACTTTATGTAATTTACTTGTCGTTCTTTAGGTCATTCAAAGAGGAATCATTCTTTCATACATATTTTTTGGATATCTTACACCTTTTTCGCATATAGCCTTCCTTGAAAAACGTTCTAACAAAAAAATAATAATTTTTCAATTCGGACCAGTAGTTGCCGAGATTAGTGTGTTCAAACAAACAAACTCTTCAGCTTTATATATTAATATAGATTTACGAGTTAGCTAATTTATTATTAAGTATTAAAAAAAAATCGATGCTTAACAACCTACATATCTGTTTCACGACCTATGCTGATCGTTGAACTAAATGTAAACTACCAGTTAAGTGAAACACCTCCCGCGCCCTTAATTTTGTTGAAAAGCCTCACTGTATTCGTGTCACAGAGCTCATCTTATAGTGGCGACTGAATTGCTGCATCCGGGCAAAGCTTATATATAAAGCGGCCAAGGTTAAGCGCCCTCGGAGAAAAAACTTAATTTGAATTGCACATGATTGGCTTAATTAATTATTGTTAACTCAACAACGTTGTCACTAAACAACGTTTATATAATGCGATAAAATTAAATTTAATAACATTAAAAAAACTTCTATGCCACAATACAAAATAAACACAAATTTTAAAATACTTCACAATAACAAATTTAAAAAAAATATATTACTTATTCCAGTTAAATTACGGAGCATAAATATTAAATGATACAAAAATACATTTTAGTGACGTTACACTCTACGCATGCGCATCAGAACTGGCCTGCTAACCTAAGATATAAAAAATAATACAATCTAAAAACAAATGTGTAATGGGGAAAGAATAAAACTAAGAAATAGAACAGTTCCTAATACACCACGCATACACTTTAAGTCTTGAAGAGGAGTTGTCTTATCATATTCTACTTCTCATTTGTATATCAATAATTCGCCACAAACATCGATTTCCCTACACTGTCGTGTAAAAAAAGAAACTCTTATAGTTTTCTTAAGATACTGTATCAGTGTTTTAAATATAAACTGAACTACTAGACTTACGTGTGGAGTAGATAGGCATTACTTACACAAAACACTCGAAATCTCGCCACAAACAAATATAAGTCAAGCCACTGCAGTAACACTGCACTATAACCAGTATGCACTTTTTTTTACTGAATTTTCACCGTGCCCGCAGTTTCAGGCTTCATCTGACAGTTGTCATGTGTAGCCAATCGGGTGTTTTCGTGCATTTTCGCCGCGAATTTTCGTTATAGGAGTGTATTGATTGTTCCGTTCGGCGCCGAGCCGTCCGCCGCCCGTGGCGCCCTCAAGCGGCGTTAATGAGTGAATGGGTGTCTATTATTTAGCCAAGACTTCGCGAAATTAATGGGTTTTATTGATTTATTACAAGTCAACCTAATAATCGGCCAAACAGCGATGCATGTTATGACCCCGGAAGGAAAAAAAATGGTGCCAACAGATTTCCTAACTTTCTGTTTAAAAGCAATTTCTACAACACCAAATATACTTTTTAATGACTTTATTAGTCATTAAAAACTGCTAACTAATAAATAGGATAGCAGCGTTTTTAATTTATACGCCATAGGACTAGGGTATTTCGCGTCGATCACAAAAAAAATGCAATTTCCAAGTAAGGGATGATACCACTACAATTAGAAAATCTTGCCCTCGTATGAAGATAATTAAGATATTTAGGAAAATAAAAGGTACTTACAGAAGGTTGAGATATAATCTGTGGTTTGTTATTGATGACTGTCGACGTCAGGGCAGATAGAGTGCACTTGTTTTTCACTGTCTGCGCGGCTAATTGTACCATTTTTCATTCGGACGGAGGGTCCAAGTGAGGGCTGAAGTGTATGACTCTAATACGCTACTTTGAACATTTTATTGTCCTTTGTCTCTACCATGAATCGACATGACTACACAGCTCATTGAAAAACACCACTAAACATAATAATTATTCTGATGCTGATAAAAATATTTTTTAGATAAGTCACAAATTTAATACCTTAACCCTTTTTTATGATAGAGGAGGACAGAAACACATGTGAAATACCCCATATAACGTCTAAAGTAGGTGCGCTGACCTATTTTTGGAAATTATACATCCATTTTTATAATTAAATAAATTACGAAATTAGTTTAATACATCGAATGAATTTATACATTTAATGTTATATAACACTGTAAAATCATTTCTTAAAATAAAATCTTTAAAGTGTAGGTTTAAAAAAGGGCGTCACTAAAAAGTCATATTTGCATATATAATGGTTTTAAGTCGTTAAATATACGTTAGGTGGGTTATATGGTAAGTACAATTTTATTTTAAATATACCATTAAGAAAACCAAGATTATATTAGTATTCAAAGAAATTTTGATGTCTTACACTTAACTGATTACAGTCCTTCATAAAATAGATTACAGTAAAAATATAAAATGAGGCAGCCGTGAATGAACGCACACTGTAGGGCGGGCGGTCTGTGGGCGGACATCAAACCTGCGTTACATAGAAATCACGACCGGAAATATCTCCTTTTAACTATTGATAATATACAATAATATATCGATTATATATAGAACTTAGTAGCATAAATAGATAATTTTTTCCCCTAAGCTTCGTGATCATTTATGCGTTTCGCTGTCGGCTTTTAGGTATAATTTATATGAATCTCGTAAATGTTATTGGTTATCTATGCAAATAATTATCGTCAAATCTCTGGTCAATATCAGACTGATTTAAATAATATTAAAGCCTTTCGCAATTTAATAACCCGTCTGCCTGTCTGTCTGCCTTTCACGGAAGTTGGAACATCGATTTATTCTCATGGCTTTTAATGTTCATGCAATTTCGAAAATACATCTTTTAAAAATGACAGTTTACAAAGTTACGTCGATTATTATAGACCTCATATCATTTGGTGGTGTGAATTTTTTATTAGAATTTAGTAGAGACGTGAATATGCATAAACAAAAGTATTTAATACTAACACGTAACACATGTGTAACAATACGTAGTAAGTATTTGCAGTTTACACGACACATTTAAATAAAACGAACAACTATACAGATGGCACTAGCGTAGCGGATTTGACTTTGACATTAGGGACACACTCAATCTTCAGTCCCCCGTGACCACGACTGCTCCAAAGCATCCGAAACGTCGGGTCGTAGTTAAAATAAATAAATAATTTTAGGTGGACAAATTCAAGATACAGATGACACTCGGCACAGCAAGTATGCTATGTCACGTAAGAGGTCTGCATGCGACATACATTTTTTCACTGTTTTTTATTTAATTTGAATGATATATAATTTTTCTTTTTTTATGGTGTCTCAAATAAATATCACGAA